ATCTTTTACAGGGGTCTAAGACACAGGTTGCCAACCATGGTCTAAGTCACAACTTGAAACAAAGTTAAAATACTATGTAACTTTTAATTAAATAGTCACCCCCAAATTGAGTTCATAATATGTCTTAAATTTGCACTGGGACTGTCTGATAATTAATACAATATATGCACGGTGATCGTTAGATCATACAAAATGTGCTTTGTGACTGTTAGATGATACAAAATGTGCACTGTGAATATTAGATATTAAAAAATGTGTACTGTGATTGTTAGATAATACAATTGATGTACTGTGACTGTTAGATAATATAAAATGTGCACCGTGACTGATAATACAACAGATGCACTGTGACTGCTATATAATATAATAGATGCACTGTGACTGTTTGATAATATAATAGATGCACTGTGACTGTTTAATAATATAATAGATGCACTGTGACTGTTAGATAATGCAAAATATGAACTGTGACTGTTTGATAATACAAAAGTAAAACAGGTTTTTCTTCTTTTTATCATGAAAGGAATATTGTAACATCAAGGAACTATCAGAACCAATTGACCAATGACCAAACACATCTAAACCTGAATACAACTGAGAATCATCACTTCAATGACAGCCTTAGCTTACAACCCCATGATGATGCTCTAGTTCCTGTACAGCTACTGCACAAGATGGATACACAAATACAGATTAATAAACATGATTTTGTTAATAAAACATTACCAAGCAAAAGAAACAAGGCAGCTGCCCAGCCTCTATTAAATGATGGGGAGAAGGATTCAAATGACAACACAAAGGTCTCCACCGTCTTAAATAAGTCATCTCTAAAACAAATGCGTTATCCCATAGGAAGCCGAAAAATACAAGGGCCTTCCATAGCCAGTCCATCCAAGGCTCAATTATCCAAACCTGTTATTGATAAGACCGTTGGTGATTGCACAGAACTTCAGACACACCAAGTAGATCATGGAGACACATGTACGCCTCTGGATGCCATGAAAGGCCATAAAGAAATGAGTGCGCACGATGAACTTACCAGTAAAAATGTTACTGATGACTCAAGTGAGAAAAATGCCAACCTTGTACCAGATCAGAATATTTTGTATCAATATTTACCTCCTGACAAGTTGGAAGACAGGACCAAAACCAGCAGGATAAAACATTCCAAAATAAAGTCTCCATTGTTCAGAATCAGCAGGAAGAGTCCGCTGTTGCAGATTAAACGTAATCATTTATCACAAAGAGGCTCTAAATATACAAGAAGTGTGGTCATGAATAAGGACAAACCAAGAGAAAGTGCTTCTGAAAAAGCATCAGAGAAGAACAAAAACGCCCCAATGGCTAACTACAGCAGTGTCAGCAGTTTCGTCCCGAGGCATTCAAAGAACATCGTCAAGCTGGAGGAGAGTGACCTCATTAAAATGAGAGGCATCACGCTTTCCAGTCCCACATATTTTGACACCAGTTTGTCTTCCCATGAACCTAACGAGAGTGAAAGTCCACCAGAAGGATTCCCTGTGCATTCAGTGGATTCGCTAGGAACACTGTCAGAATTTTCTCCTGGGATATTTTCTCCACTCATAGATGTTGATGAAGTGGGATACATGGGTAGCACCAGCCCAAAAGATGTTACCACCTTATTAAAAGATTCATCATGTCATTTACGGGATAGTGGCCATGTAATAAGTAATATAAAGCCTGATGATACTTGGATTCTAAACAAACTATGTTGTGAGCAAAAGAAACTTCATTTAAATGTGGCAGCAACAAATGAAGTGGTTTATGTAAAATCTACCCATGATGATGCCTGTGATAAATTTCCCAACACGGATTTTGGAAATGATAATAAAAAAACATCAGAGGGAGATAATTGCCTTGACTGTTTAGATCATCAGCGCCACGAGACAAGCAAGTTTAAAAACAATAATGAATTTGAAGAGACTTCTCAGAAACACAAGCAGAGGACTTCTGGCATTGACCGAACTCGTGGGACTTTTTACAAAGAGAGCTCTTCTTTAGGAACATTCTCTACACTGTCAGTAGCCACTAAGAATAAAATATCAGTAAAAGAAAACCAGACTGACACAGACGCTGGTAAACAATCTTTGCTTGCAGCTGTTCCTGACTATAGCAAACCAAATATCACTCCACTGTGTAGCAGTGTTGCTGTACGTGATGATATTTTGGCTGTTTCTAAATCAACCAAACCACGGCCATCATGGCTAAGAGCCACAAGGAAGCAAAGCCCGCGCCAAGAAAAAGTGCTGCTCAAGGCTTCCAAGTCCCCAGAATCACGAAGACATGTTGGGGATGCTCCTGAATCTTCTGGAAGGATAAGTGCATCTCCTAGAAGGAAATCCTATAAATCTTTGAGAGATGCAATCAAGTTAAATTTAGACCCCAAAACAAAAAGAGGGCAGATGGACAACGCAAAGCAGAGAGAAGTTTCAGGGAACACAATAAAAGCCAGTGCACAAACAGACCGGTTTCATGTCAACAAATCAAAGTTTAGGTTTGACATTACTTCTGGGAAAGATTTGGAAACCAGCACACTTAACTCTCACTCGGTCAAGTCAGTGCTAACAGAGTCAAATAGAAATACCTCAAAAATGAGCACTGTGCCTTCTTCATTTCAAAGCCCAAGATCCAAGATAGTGCAATGTGTCGCCTTTGGTACCTCAGTGCCTCCTATGCATGCAAAGTACTCGTACTCAAAGCAAAAAGGTTGTGAGTCGAAATCATCCATTTCATCCAAATCAAAATCATCAATTGCCTTAGAGAAGTCTATAAATAAACCTAGGAAGATGAATTTGTCAGCTATTGATCCCAATATCAAAATCAGCCCAAATTCTTTACCATTAGCATCTAAACAAAGTTCTTCGATCGTTAATGATGTTGAAAAAAGTAAGATTGCAAATTTTTATGAGAAAAGAAACAATAGTTCACCAAAGACAAAGCAAATTATCAGATCTAAGTTGCAATCTCTTGCTACTCTAGGAACAGGTGAGCATGTCAAAGTTGGCAAACTCGCCCATAGAATAGATCTTCAACCTAAATTCCAGGTACATGTCACCTCACTCGCATGTAGTGAAGGTCACGAAAAGCTAAACCAAAAGACAGAAATGTCATCAACTGCATGCATTAAACCTATCAGCAATCATGGAGTAGTAGGGCAGAGAGATAAGGGTTCAATCGGAGCTTCCCTACATATCACACCACTATTTGGCACAGCCAGAAATGCACACATTTCAGATAAGTGTGGACCACATTATTTGGAGACACTTGCAAACTTGACCTCAAAATGTTCTGAAAACGATGCAATCAACAAAAGTGCAGTGACCTCTCAAAATTCTCTGCGGCAGACTCAGCAACAGCAGGATACCATAACTGTCACTAAGATCTCAAAAGCATCTTTGAAACCCCCAATGAGTGGCAAATTGTCTGTGATGAAAAGTCAGTCTTTAGTTGATGCTGGGCAGAGTGAAACCATGTTGAATCCTAGACCAAAAAGGACATGCTCTGCTGGTGCCAGGACTAAAAAGACATCACCTGTTGAGCCACGAAAAGAAGAATCCTTCACTTATCGAGTACGTTTGTCTCCAAAACCTGCTTGGGGTTATGGTGGGAAACGAAACACGGCAACAAGGAACAAGACATTCTTAAAAGACCCTCATTACCAAGCTGCAGTCAGTAATCTGAAGAGTAAAGACAACCACACGATGGCTGTGGCTATTTCAAAATCAAAATCACTTCACTTGCATGGGAACAAGTCTCCCGATAAATCTAATGGCTGTGATAAAGGTTTGGTTATGGTAGGCCATCAAACGGATAATAAATATAAGACAAAAAGTCTGGTATCTTCTGTTCCTGAAAATTTAGACACCTTAAAATCTCCAGATGGAATGAACTTAAGAAAAGAAGATAAAGGCATGTTCCCAGAGTTCTCAAAAAAAAATTCAGCATCAGAAGGATCCAACCTGAACAGAATTATAGCCGCAGCCAAAATGTCTAAACATTCAGCCATTGAAGTGAGGAATTCTATAACCCAAGAATCTCGGGAGGTCAAACAGTGCTGTATAAGGGTTTCATCCCTTGAGGAAGCTGAAAATATTGCCAAGTCTTTGATGTCTTCAACATTCAAGGAATTGTCTTCAAGCCCTTGGCTAAAAGAAGTGGGATGCTTAGATGAAGACACGCTAAAGAAGCACTGTGAGTCTGTAGAGAGAGACATTTTTAGCTTGGCAAAGAATAATTTGGAGTCTGGGGAAGCACAGCTCATGTCAGGCCAGCCTGTTGTGAAACAGCCAGTGATAGGTCAATCAACAATGCAACAACCGAAGTCAGGCCAAGCTGTCATAAAACATTCATCTATGGAGCAGTCAACCACGAAACAGCCTTTGGTACGCCACACGGTTGCAAAACAGTCTCGTTTAGGGCAGTCAGTGGTTCAGGAAGCCATACTGGGTCATACAAGTGTAAAACAATCTATGGTAGAACAATCAACCATTCAAGATTCTTTCTTGGGACACACAGTGATCGAACAGTCAATGTTGGGCCATTCATCACTACATCAAATGATCAGTGAATGCTCTCGGCCTATTCCAGAGAAACACTCCAATAACCAAGAAATGGCTGAGCATGATGAAGAATCACTACCATCTGTGAAGTCTAAGCACTTCAGAAGAGCTACTGCCTCTCCAGGGGAATATGATCTGCTCAAGTGTTCAAACAAGTCTTCCATCAATAGCAGTTCACTTGAAGCTATTCCGCATGTTAGGAAAATTGATTTCAAGCCTATGATATGCATACCTGTAGCTCTGACTGAAGATAACAAAAAAGATATAAATGGAGACGAGGAGAGCCTGTTTACTGGCACTGAAAACATTAAAACATATGAAGTGAAGAACCCTTTGTCAGTAAAACGTATTGAAGATATGGACGCCAAAAAATTAGACATTAGTAATATCAAGATCACACAAATGGTTGCTAGTAACGGTATGGAAAAAATTAAAAAAAATGAGTTACTAAATGTAATTCCTACCCCATTAAAGAGTTCACAATTTACAACCCTAGCCACTTTTCCCAGTGCTAGTGAAAAAACAAATGATGATGCGGCTGTGAGCACTGGGATTGGAGCGACACATCCAAAGCATTTAATGTTAACTGACCTTCCATTGAGAATGGATGACATGTTTTGTAAGGAGAATTTGTCAGAAAGCAAATTTGTGTCTTTCCAAAAATGTATCCCTGAACAGAAGAATTTACTAAATGAATTGCATTCTGAACATTATATTGAACGTTTTAAAGAAGATTTACATTTCAAAGAAGTAAAGAAATGTTCACCTTTGGCTGAATGTTCTCTAGTGGAGATCAAATCCAAGCCAGACGTCCATCAATTGCTTGATAGCAATGTCTCACAAAATGAAACTGAAAGTCAAGAAAATGCAACTGATTACCAGTTTGACGTGAAAGTGAAAGATGTCAGAAATGATGCTTCCATCACTGACATGAAAACGTCCGAAATATGTCCATACTATCAAGTAATTTCTATGCCTGGGGGTAATAGCACTAGGCCTGCAGAAAACTCTCCAAAACCCGGGGACCTGACCTTGAAATATTGCAAGCCCAACAAAAGTTGTGATGGCAACCAACAAGACCCTAGGAATCAACAAGTCAATGCTGCCCGGGATTTTTATGTCGCAACCAATTCCAGTACTTTGATTCCAGTCCCTACTGATCCTGATCTCAACAATGTGCAAGATGTCACCAACAAAGGATGCAGTAAGAAAATATTTCTGCTAGCCTCCAAGTTTTCTAGCACTATTTCAAAGCCAAAGTCAGCTCCAAGATTATCCACAAAGACATTGACCGTGGAGTCCTTCAAAGATCAGATCAATGTCAAATGTACAGAGATTAAGCATGAAGACAATGGCAGGGAATGCACGGAGATTCCCAGTAAAGTAGAGGGAGCAGACATTGGCCTAAATGATGATGTGTCATCCCAGTTGACAAGCAGTATTGCTCAAAGGGTCAGTTTGTACTTAAACTCTGTAAATCAGTACAATGACTTAGCCGTCCATTCTCAGAACCGTCTTTCTGTCCTTTCCAACGCCGATGAATGTGTTAAGGAAACAACAATGAATGTTGATGCAGGAGCCAACACACAAGAATGTATTGAAGAATCAAGAAGGCATTCACTTCATGCGAGCCACACAGAACACATTGTAGACTCAACTGGTAGTGATAGTTCAATCTCAACAATGACCCTGAATACACTCAATGATCAAGAAAGCCAAACTGATTCAAAAGAAGAGGAAAGAAAGCAGAATGCTGATAAAATTTTGCAATCTAAGAGAATATCTTTGCAGAATATTGACTCATCACCAAATATAAGCCATTATTTGCCATCACATGATTTGCAGGTGGATATCCAGTCGCCGGAATCATCCATTTTATCGATAGACTCGCGAGTAAGTGTTGACATTGCAGAATACTCTTTGGACGCTTTGAACTATGGAGGTTCTGAAAATATTGATAAATGGAGCCATAGTTTAATGAGAGAACAAGTTAATAATATAAATAAATCTGCCAAAGTCGTAAACTCATCAAAAGCACAGGAGATTTCAAGAGGTGTAGATCTCAGTGAGGCCTACTCTAACGAATCGTTCATGAAATGCGATGTGCTACAATTCAGCCAAAGCAGCCCCAACACTACAAGGGATAGGGTCAAATCAAAGTCATATTACTCTGAAACTTCAAAGTTAGAAAATAATTCTACATCGAAATTAAAGGATAAATATAGTTCCCTTAGCTATTTCGAGTCACAGAAACTGACAGATACAGAGAAGCTTCAGACCGGAAATGTGAGAACACTCCTAACAAAGTTTCATGTGAACAGTGATCAACCTAGTACATCTGTCGACCCTGAAGAAGTATGCTACTCAAAATCTCCCAGCAATGATGATCAGTGGATTGTGGTGACCAGCTTAAAAAATTTGGCCAGCTCAGATACACATTTAAATAAATTTCTCAACTCTCAGTTATCATACCGAAATCTGACATCCCCGATTTCTAAACCTGACCAAGAAATAATGAGACAATATCATCCAGAAACTGACTCGCAGTACGCTGACCTTTCCACGGCATCAAACAATTCTGATTCTGACCTTCAGAGTGAGACGTGTGGAAGTTCCACTCTTCCAAATGTGTCCAACCACCAGGACATGTCCGCTGACAGCTTTAACTCACTGTTTCTGATGAATGCTATGTACCTGGAAGATATATCCACCCAAGACAAAGGTGAACGCATCCAGCCAGCGAGCTCTGAACTAGCCAAGCCCAAACGTGAAAGATCGGGAAATAAATGGGCTCCATATAGAAAGATGAAAACAAAAAAATCTTCTTTTCAGAAAGGGTGAGTAGAATAGATTTTATGCTGACATATTAATTGGTGTTGCTTCAGTCAACTGTTGATATTATCATCAACAGCCTTGACCAGTAGCCAAAGGGGCTGAGGCCTAAACGGAAAATGTGCAGCTGTTCCTCCGTCTGATGTTCTGGGTGTCCCCAAACGCTGTGGCACGCTGGTCGTGGCACGTTGATCATGGCATGCTGGTCGTCTGTCTAGTTTCATATGTCGTGTTGTGAGTGTAGTTAGATGTTTCTACAGGGCAAGGGAAAGATGATAATACGTAAATTGACAGTTGATTGGGACTCAGGGATTTTGGCATGAGTGATGTATACAGAGATGTTCAGATTAATAGTTTAGACTTTAGAAAATTTAAAATGATTGCATATACAAAGAAGATTTTCCGTTTGCACACTTCCCATCCCAGGCAATAAAATCTGAGGGGGAAAGCTAAGAATTCATTGTAATAATATGTAATGTAGGAATGACATTCTACAAACTTTTTGATTAGCGGAACAGAAAGTATTAAACAGAAACTCGTCCCTCTCCCTCATAGACAGCGACGAGGCCATGACAGGCTCATACCAGCAATAAGCCAGTATAGGAGCTGCTCATTCCTGCCCAAGACAATCAGGGACTGGAACAATCTTTCAAAAGGAACGGTTGGGGGGACAACACTAGACACATTTGTGTCTGTTGCCTCAAACATTCAAACCCCCAGTGCATGATTCCCTCAATTTTACACAAAGTGGCACTGGAAATCAGTGAAATTTCCTCATCAACACCAGGAACAGAAACATTGCAAATCCCATCTACATGCATAGGAGCCAAAATGATCAATAAATTGATCGTGGGCCCTTGAGATATAGAAGAAGAAGAAGAAAGGGGAAGATATTTGTCTTGTGAAAATATCTTTTAAATATAGTATCGATTACTTCTCTTTGCTTCCTCCGCCCTTGGCATTTCATTGAAGTTTGTCGCTGCAATAATGGCACCTTGTGGGGAATACTATGAACATATCATAACAGTATCTTCCCTTGTCACATTTGATTAGTCAATATTTAGTTCAAAATAGATAACAAAGGGAAAATATTTGTGCAATATTCAGTTCAAAATAGATAACAAAGGGAAAATATTTGTGCAATATTCAGTTCAAAATAGATAACAAAGGGAAAATATTTGTGCAATATTAAGTTCAAATGAAAGCAATTAGCGAATACTCTTTGAAAACGAATCTTGTAAGCATGAAAAAAAAGGAAACATTCTTGTTTAACATAGAAGTATATCTGCAGTGTTTTTGCTGGTGCTATTCCAAAGCTAATAGGCTGAATTACCTATACAAATAATATCAGTGGAAATAACTATTTACAAACAAATAATATCAATAGACATAAATATTACCCATACAAAGATATGACATCCTTCCGTCTTCACTAAACGATGGGGGTGCTATGCAAAATTACTGGGTCGATCCTATTAATAAATAAATAACAATTTTGAAAACCCATAAAAATGTTTAGCCCTTTCTACAGAAAAACTTTCTTTTTTCCTTTTTGACTTTGGTAAAACTTGGAAATATTTAGAAATAAACGAATGTTTTGGGTTCTTCTTTTCGTTGGAAATGTCCAACTATTTGAGCATTTCCTTTTTGTGATGGATACCTTTTTTGGAAGGAATTCTTGTTTAAATCTTAAAAACATTTTATAGTAAATCTATTATTTTTTATGTAGTTTACACCAACATTTTTTAAATAAAAGCTTATAAAACACATCCCTCTTCAATAGAATTTTTTAAAAAAATATGTTTGTATAACACATCTAGTCAAGCAGAGACGTCACGTGACCTTTTATGGCATCCTGTTACTTTTCGGTTTGATCCTTTCCCACCTAGCAGTAAGAGTTGATAATTTCAAGTAATTACAGCACAACTTTAAGCCCTTAAACTATATGAGGCGCCATGCAGCTATACAGGTTGCAGACCTCACACGATGGCTCCGAGGTCAAGTGAAACCTAAAATCTTAAATAGTATCTCTCCCATTGCTCTCCAGTTAAGTGTATAATGATGCAAAACTATATTTAATTATGTACAAAAATGCATTATTGCGTTTTGAATTATCAAAAATTTCTGAGGCCAGTAAAGTTTTAAAAGACGAGTCTAAGCTAGGGATTATCTCTCGACAAAAACGAAAGAGCTCCTAACTGGAAGGAATTTAGTTAATTTTGGGCTGGTGGAAGAGTTAGTGATGTCCTATTATTATGGCTATAGAATATTTCTAGCGCTTCCCGTCCAAAAGTCTGAAATGTCTTCATCAATGGTGCTTAATCCCATGTAGGGCCCTGGCCTGCCCCACCACATTCTTCAGTTTGGATCGATCCATCCCTTTCCGCCTCCATGCGCGAACCCCCAATCTTGTAAGTCCTTCTCTACCTCATCAATCCATCTCAGTCTCGGTCGACCGGTGAGCCGTCTGCTCTCGGTCGACCGGTGAGCCGTCTGCTCCTGGGTTTCTGCATGTAGATCTTTTTGCTGCTCCAGAATCTGGCATCCTTTCACTGTGTCCTGTCTAGGCCAGTCTGAATTCTTTTATTGCTGGGACTATGGATGGGTATTTGTACGATTGATATTGCTCTTGGTTTGTACGGATTCCCAAAACAAAATTGTCTATTATCGGGCCTTGTATTGAGCAGGTTCTCTGCTTTTATAGTAGGAACCAAGTCTCATTTGCTTAAGTTACTACTGGCATTAATGATAGTGGTGCATATTGCTTCTTTGTTCCCCTAGAGAGGTTTTTGCTTCGTAGTAGCTTTTTTAAGTTGAAATTAAGAACGGTTGCATGCTGTTTTCCTTTCTTTCACCTCCCATTGTATTTCCTTTTGCTTATTTATAGTC